CGCTGGAATCGAAGAACAATGGCCAAATCAGAGAGAAAAAATGCGGAAATTTCGATAAGCGATCGAGCCACTCGAGACGCGGCGAACAATGTTTTTTTCGCGCGACAGAGATCGTTCGAAGATCCGCGGAAATCGGTGAGCGCATTCCGCGCGGTGTCGTTTCCGTGTCAGGAATAGTATCCATAGAAACGCGATCGTTGCGTAAAAAGAGCGAATTAAAATTCTCCGTGGGAACATCAATAAAGTGTTAAATTACGTAACACACGGGCCGCGAAAGAAACTTCCCGTACAGTTGCATAAAAGGGAAAACGTCTCGCGCCAACGAATGGAACGTTCGAAGGGAGAGCAGCCATTTTTTTTTCGGGTCAAACAATAGGGTCGTTACACATGAAATCGAACACTTTATCGCGCTGGATAAACGTGCCCAATACGATACCTATTCTTTTTTTTCTTTTTTTTTATCGTCGCAACACTTTCGATTGGATACACTTTTATTGAAAGCAGATCCTGCACGCTTAGAAACGAAAATACCTATTCTCTTACAATTTACTGGAAAATACAGATTTTATCTGTGCACGAATTTGTATGTTTCCACAATATGTTCTTTCTTTCCAAATGTTGAAATATTTGTTCTTATCGAATTACGTAAAAGCGAAATAATTGTACCAATCTCTGCTCGAATGATTTATTTCATACAGAATTATTCGAACGATTTATTCGAATAAAGAATTAATCGAATGATCTATTCGAATAAAGAATTATCTTGAAAATAACCCGCTCGAATAATCCTTAACACATGATCGACGATGAAGAATTATTACAATAATTAACCAGAATAATAATAATTATTATTATTATTATCCATTCGAATAATCGTGTTCGATAAATATTTCTGCGCGAGGGTTCAAAATAATTCTTAACTCGGATTTCGTGGCGTTGGTTACGAGAAGGGTTGCGGAGGTGTGCGGCGGGAAAAAGGAGGGAAATTCGAACGCGTTCTAGTCGATTCTATGCGTGGACACAGCTGCGGGTAGGAGCCGCACTGACCGTTCGCCGTCAGCGATAATATTTTTAAATGAAAGTGGCGAGAGGCGACCGGCACAATAAATATCGGGTTTAGCGGAAAGACGCGAGCGTGGTGGAAGCACCACTTGCAAGTAATGGTACTCTCCTTCTCTCTCCGTTCGCCCTTTTCCTTTTGCCGGCTTCTTCGTCTGCCGGGGTGCTGCGCCCACCTTCTTTCCCTTCGCCGGGGCACCCTTTGCGACCGTTCCACGTCGTCCCGTACCTGCCTCTTCCTCTTCCGTCATGTTGTTGCACAAAGACGCCGCTCTCTCTCTCTCTCTCTCTCTCTCTCTCTCTCTTTCTCTCGCTTTTCTTAGATCCGCGACCGTTGAAAATATTCATTGCCCCCGATCGGCTTAGAGGCTGCAGAGATCGGATTAAATGAAAACTATTTTTCAGTCGGTTGTTAAGTTCCGACGAGCTTAAAAAAGTAGCATGCTTCGTCGTATTTAACCCTTTGCACTCGGCTGGCGACTCTACGGCGCCCTTAGAAATTGTTATATCACGTTTGAAAATAATTTCAATAGCATCAAATTGATTTATATTTAGAAGTTTGTTAATAGCGTAACAGTTGCCTTTGTTGCAAAGCCTAATTTCATATGTATAAAACGCATTAGGTTGTATAAAATGGAAATGCTGTAGGTCCGAGAAATTATTTTGGATTTCGAGTTAAAGTGGCTCCGACTGCAAAGGGTTAGTGTTAAGACGCGTTCACAAATATGCATTCGTACGAATAATGCGAGTTACAGTAATGTCTCCCTAATTGACGCTCGGATTCCGCACAGAAAATGGATTTGTAATATTAAAATGGATTTGTAATATGCGAACAAATTGACAATTTCTCTAAAACCAGATAATTCTATAAAGAATTGTTTGAAAGGAGAATTGTTCAATAGAAATGTTTCTTAATTTACCAGATGCGTATAATGCGTGCATAAATTTACACGTACATTATTCTCGAATTCAATCACCGCGTATATTACGCTCTGCAATCTAAAAGATATTTTGCCCGTTCAATTATTAAATAATAATAATAATAGTAATATTTACAAAATATTTGCTCTAGTCTCGCGTTCGTCCGCAACGAGCTCGTGAAAACGCTGCTCGCTCGAACGTAACAAGCTGAAATATATTTTCAGGCAAAACGATTTTCATCTTTTTTACGAGCGATACTTATTTAAAAAGCGTCTCCCGACGCCGTGTTCGCAAATAACGACGCACACCCGGTTTATTTTGTTCGCCGTTATTAAATGAATCTGAAGATGCAAATTCGCGGCTATTACCGGGGGAATTATGAAGAATTACGCGCGCGCGATATTCGCAATATTCTTCGTATACGATCGATCGAATAATTTGGGACATTAAGGTTGTCCTCGGGGAAACCGCGCGACGCGAAACGTTTCGTTGTAATGCGTGTGCACGGGAAACATGCTGCGAAGGTATATTATACGAGTGACATGGATGGTGCGCGTCCACTTCGTTCTTTTTCATCTTCTCGGACGCTTAAGGTGGCAATCATTTTCATTAAATGAGCTCTCAGTGATTGAGTTCAGCGTAGACTGTAATCTCGACTGGTTTCATTTCATTTATCATTAACGAAACGCAGCCGAAAATGTGTCTACTTATTATCTAGAAACTATTATTTTTATTTAATAAAACGCGAGACACGCACAAGTAATACCGCGCATCCTAATTCGCGTTCTATAGTAACGCGTAAATGAACGGCATTGCTGCAGGTAGAAAATTTTTACTTGTTACATATATATACATATATGTGATCTCTGTTATTTTCTCAACAAAACGCGATATAAGTACAGTGCAATTTTAATTCACACCGTACGGTATGCATAGATTAACGACATTGTGCTGCAGATGAAAATTTTTACTTGTTACATATATATATACATATATGCGATCTCTGTTATTTTCTCAACAAAACGCGATATAAGTACCGTGCAATTTTAATTCACACAGTACGGTATGCATAGATTAATGGCATTGCTGCAGGTGAAAATTTTTACCCGTTACATGCGATCTATCATTTTCTTAATAAAATGCGATATAAGTACGGTGTAAGCCTAATTCGCGTCGTATCCGAGGCCTATAATTTACGGTGCAGAGGAAGAAAACAAAAAAACTGTTCAAAATAAATTGTTTAACGACACCGATTATTTTAACGTTAACCACCTACCCGATAATTTCGTTTGGGGAACGACAAATAAACGAAAAAACGATTTCTCCATCAAATTTGATAATCATTTTCCAGCTGTTCTCGGTCTTTCGTTATTTTATCCGATCAACTTCGGAGGAGACGGTTTCTTCGCCCTAGACATATTCGCCGGGAGACTTAAAAACGTGTGTTCCTTTTTCGACACAATGCGCGCGCGGGTAACAGGAGTTTCGAGCGCGGAGGACTCGTCGCGAGTCGCGGCGAGAAAAAGAAAAAGAAAAAGAAAAATCGCCGGGCGGCTTTTGACGAATTTCTCCGGAAAGCCGGCGACAAAAATCGTAGCTCCCGCGTTACCAAATTCGCCTTGTCACCGGCGCGTGTGTATGTGCGCGCGCGCGCCTGATATAATAAGCGTATTCCGTCGGATAAAACGCGGTTTTTTCGTCGGGTTTTGTACGCTGCTTTGTCACCGGGAGTGTCGCAGCACTTTATTTATTCATACCGCGGGGACGCGTGTATGGGGATCGGGGGAAAATTCAAAAGGAACGTTCGGAATGGGAAGCAGAACCTGGTGCCAGCAACAGTGCTGATGGCGTTGAGACCGTCTAACGATGACATTTAAATGCAGTGTGCCGCGCATCGTTTGGTTCTCCCTGCCGCTCCGCGCCCGCGACGATTCTCTTCCGTCTCCTTCGCATTCTTTAGCCGTCTCGTTCCCTCGTACACCTCTCCCTTCCAAAATATCCGCGGTCGGTATCCTTGAATAAACAATATTTTGCGCGGCGTTGATATACGGCGCCGCGTTCCGTTCACCCGGGACTAATTCTCGTTCTTTGTGTTCATTCGCCGCGAATGTTTACCGAAACGAAACCGAACGCCGCCGGTCGACGGCAGTGTCAATGAGACCATCGAGCTGTGGCAAGTTGTTTTTACTTGCTCGTAGAGTCTCTTGTTTCTTCGCCGCATCCCTTCGCGGGGCAATCGTACGAATTATCCTGTAATCGGTTAATTTGATTCGAGGAGAAGGGTAGATGCAAGCAGACTAGCATAATATAGAGAGCAAACGATAGTAAAGAAATGAAAGTAATTTAACGATGATGGTAACAACCCTTTGCACTCGAGTGGTGAATCAGAGGCAATTTTTATATTAACAAAGCTTGGGTTTAAAAAATTGTTAAGAATGTAACCGTCGCGCGAGTCCAAAGAGTCAATTTCGTATGCGTAAAATGCATTTTGTCGTATGAAATAAAGATGCTGTAAGTTGAAAGAATTATTTTATGTTTACTGTTAACCCTTTGCACTCGAATGGCGACTCCGAGGCGCCACTAAAAATTGATATAGTATTTTTAGTAATTTTCGAAATCGTTCCAAGAGCATCAGACTTGCGTTTATACTTAAAAAGAAACTATTAAAATCTTTATAATTATATAAATTATAAAGAATAGAAATACTGTAGATCAGAAATCATGTTTTGGATTTTGAATTCGAATAGCTTCGACTGCAAAGGGTTAAAATAGCTTCGAGTGCAAAGGGATAATAATAATAATAGTAATAATAATAATAATAAAGAATAGAAATAAAAGAGATAGAAAAATAAAGAATAGATAGAAAAATCCTTTGTCACTGAAGAAGTAATAACAAACGGATTGCGTAAGTACGAACAAAAAGAGAAAAGGAAGAACAGCAAAAAGATATCTAAATAAGTTGAAATATATGTACATGCATATATATGTATATCTACATAGATTTATCGTGTCTGTTTCAGAGCCACGCCGCTGTGAATAAGGACCGCGTCGCGTCGATTAAAACGGTGATTGCATCAGAGGCCCCGCAGGATCTGGGCAACGATGGATGGTGCCAGACAGGAATGATAGGTAGGCGGATGATGCTCTCGAAGAACAACGCTGCCTCGCTACTTGTAGCCGCTGCTATACTTGCCGGCGACGATATAGCGAGGCGCAGGGAACGTCGGTGCAGCCACGGATACAGGGTTATCCACTTAACACTTTGCCTGTCCGCAGTTACTTAACACCTTACCTACCGGAAACCTAATAATAGGCTTTTCAATGGCTCCGCTATGACAAAAAGAAGTTTCACAATATTTCTAACGAATCTTTTTATATTATTTTTCATGTTTTAACGAACACCGTCGACACGGTCGACAGTTTCGTTATTTATGTAACACCGAAAGTGTCTGTCGCTCTGTCTTCGCGGACGATTTCTTCTTTTTCCCCCCGGTGATCTTATTGTTTACAATACAGTAATGTCTCTCTAATTGACGCTCAGATTGTCCACCAAAAAATGTACAATTTGGGAAGAGAAGATACGATTATTCGAGCCTTGCGGCTCGCTTTTATAGTTAACGGATTGTCGACGACTATAATAAACGAGCTACAAGGCTCGAATAATCGCGTCTCCTCTTCCCAAACTGTCCATTTTTGTGGACAATCTGAGCGTCAGTTATGGAGACATTACTGTACACGGTTAGAACCGCACGTCTATTAACCCTTAGGGGACCAAAATTATTTATTTCCAGTTTACACACTGCCAAGTCCAGACTGTTTTTCAGAGGAAGAGAAATTTTTCACTGAAAACTTTTGTATCAAATATAGAGAAGAGATATTCATTTTTTAAATAAAATTTCGTTTGTGATTCTTCCAATGTTTCCTGCCAGATTTTTCGGTTTTATTGATTTCTGCCGCATGTATGGCGGCATTGGACCGTTAAGGCTTATATTATAAATAATATTAATTATTATAATATATATATGTATATATATTTATATTATAATTAATTAATATACGACGGTTTTGCGTGGTAATTTTATAGTCGTGATATTGTATTTATGATACGCACAATATTTTTATATTGCATTTATCTTAATATATATTGTATAATATATTATTTTAATACGCTTGATATGTTATGTTATGTTTATACACGTTTTATTCGTATATTTTTCGCACGAATTATACAATTGGACCGCGGCTTTTACAAAGAATCATGGTGTTTGTGTGCAGAATGCAAGAGGGTAGCACCGCCGTGGCGCTAGCGATGGTGACTCCTGGCTACGATCAGGACCCTGCGAGTGGGGCTGATTACACGACCCATCAGGATCAGGCCCAGTTCGAGGCAGACAAAAGGGCAGTCTACAAGCATCCACTCTTCCCCTTGCTCGCGTTACTTTTCGAAAGATGCGAGCAGGCCACCCAGAGCTCGGACAACTCGACGTCCGAAAGCTTCAACATGGACATACAGGCCTTCGTCCAACACCAAGAAAGAGACCGAAAGCCGTTCTTGATCAATGACCCCGAAATTGACGGTTTGGTGAGTCCTTTTCAACTACATATATATACATATATACGTATTCATATATTTATATTATACATAATACGCACGTACGCATATATGTTGGTTCAAATTAATCGGCTTCGATCAAAAAATGCGAGCACAAATTGGAAATAATCGATCGACCTTGGGATATCCTTGGAATCTTCGTTCGTCGAAGATTCTTTTTTTTATTCTTATCTCGACACCCGAGCGCGTCCACTTTCACTCTGTCCCGAGAACTTTGTTGCTTGTTTTTTTACAGACGAGTCAGAAAATTGCTGCATATATCAATTGTTGTTTCGGTTAATTAGAAATTCGATGGTAACGTTAGGGTGGGTCGCCCGATGCTGGCCGCTCAAATGTTCATTTTTAACGATGCGTCGAGTATGTCTGGAGAACAGAGTTGAACGGTTCTTATTTATTATATAACGCTGTTATTATGGACTTCGGGTTTCAGCGATACAGATCTAAATGCGTGCGAAACGAACTATCTCTCTAAATATAAAAATCGTGCCTGTTCGTTGCGTTAACGCTGAAACTACTGATTTTAGTTAGAGTTAACATTTAGAGTTACCATTAAGAGCACCGATCCCTTTATAAGAACGACGAGACCGGATTTATGCCGCACATATAATTCAACTTTTTATTCGCCAAATTCTGTTATTACACAATTAGATCAAAATATGTATAATCTATTCACTATTTCTGTATATCGATAATTATTGCGTGAAGAAAATATCGAAAACATAGTGTTCGCACCGAATTTCCATTGTATCAAGAGACTAACGCGAAACGAAGGTGTTGCACACGTTTTTTACATCAATTTTGCTGCGCAATTAAGCGTTGGTGTTCCCACGCCGAAAATGGAATCTCTTGGAAACGAATTTCTCTCTCTCAAGAGAGACGACGGATTCGCATGATCCGCTGTCGGGATAACGTTTTCCCGAAATATTCACGCGCATGTACATACCATCGGTGGCAATTGATCGAACGCGATCGGTACGGAATGGGAACGCCGCGGATTCGCCGCGCGAAACAAAAAGTCCAAAAGACAAAAGACTTCCGCGTCTCGAAGCGCGGAATCAAATGAAAATGAAAAAGAAAATCGTATCGCGCGATTTCCTTGTTTCTTATGCAACGGTATGCCCCCATCGTAGATGATCAAAGCGATACAGGTGCTGCGGATCCACCTACTCGAGCTGGAAAAGGTGCAGGAGCTGTGCAAGGACTTCTGCAACAGGTACATCACGTGCCTGAAGGGCAAGATGCAGAGCGAGAATCTGCTACGCAGCGATTACAGTCATCATGGGCACGACATGGGTCCGTCGAGTGGCAGCAACGGCAGCAGTCCTCTGCAGGTTAGACATCTTTTCGTCATTAAGGCATCCTGGCCTGTGCTCCCCCTCACCCTGCGTAGATATCCTTTTGCTAGTGGCGCGCAAGGATCGCGGATCTCTCTGTCTTCTCTTTCTCTCTCACTCTCTCTCTCTCCCTCGAAATGCAACCGAGTTCTGTTTAACCACCTCACACCCCCCTTACTAAACCCTTGCAACATATTTAACAATATACGGTTGCGTGTTTTTCACGCGATCGGACCAAGCCGTGTCTCTCTCTTGCTCCATCGCGACCGAAGAGAGGAACGACAATTTTTATTGGACAGACTTAAATGGTTCCGGATGATTCTCGTTGCGGCGTACAGTAATGTCTCCCTGATTGACGCTCGGATTCTGCAGAAAAATGGACAATTTAGGAAGAATAGTTACCGATTGTTAACAACTATAAAAACGAGCCTCGCAAGGCTCGAAAAATCGTAACTCCTCTTTCAAAATTGTTCATTTTTCTGCACAATCTGAGCGTCGATTAGAGAGACATAACTGTACTCGAAATTCTTTAGTTTCTTTTTTTAATTATAATTTAATATAATCGAAGAGAGATTATAGAATTACCGTAGAAAAAGGAATCATTTAGAAACGATTAGTTTCGATATTTAAATTAATTATAACAAATAACTAAATTCTAAATTAATTTGGAAATTACCTCATATTTTCTCATATTTTTTAAACGGAACTTGTACACTTTTTATGCGCCGTTGAGTGCACGAGAAAAAAAATGGTCCCGTTCAAAGTAATACTAGGCGCTGCCCTTGAAATCGTCGAAACGCCTAAACTCTCGCAGCGAGTACACGCGTACACCGGATCACGCTTCATCTAACACCATTTAAGTCTGGCCAATAAATTTTTTTTGCCTATCTCCAGTCGTTTCAGAGATACGGCTTTGCCCGTAGCCGCGCGCGAAAACACCCTGTGTGTACCGCTTTTGCCGAGGAGCTGCAACGAAAGCTGTGTGTCCTACCAGTAGGAAATAATTCGTAATTAACAATACGTTTGATTGCACTCACAAGTTAACCCCTTTAGCGTTTGTCGTACTCCTTGAACTAAGAAAAAAAAAGAAAAAAGGAATGTCTGGATGCTCTCCCGATTGGAATTGTATTACCTCGTAATTCTCGTACCTCGTTATAGTCCGTAGTTTTTTATTCGGGTGTGAACGGTGTATTAGTATTCTATCCGGGGCTCTCGAACTAACCGCATGTACTATGATACGAATAGTGAAAATATGCTCTTCCGGTGAACTGTTCGGCGGTCGAGTTTTTAGGTATTTCAAGCAGGAACTGATCAAACAAATATGCCGGTATTTTCTCGATAACGCTTACAGGAACCTAAAGAGAAATTAATTGGATCGTTTATAAGGTATTTGCCGGTGTTCAAAGAATTTCCAAAGTATTTTCGAACGCAGATTTAGAAGCAGAATTGTATCTAGGGGAAGATCGACATTAGATTCTGTTAATACGAATAATTTGCTAGTAAAATGCTCGAACTTCAACGTAAAATTGAAATAAAATAAATATGATATAAATAATAAATATAATATATAAATATAATATATAAATATAATATAAATAATAAATATAATATATAAATATAATATAAATAATAAATATAATATATATAATAAATAAAATATCGTCACACTGTTTTCAACATGGCAATACTATTCGAGGCAACAATTTATCTTTATTTAACGTCTCTTGCGCTAGTCCTGATAAAGATCAATAATAAGGTTTCACTAGTGCAAATTTCACTAGTGCAAACGTTAGCAAACGCGAAAATAATCCAAAAAAAAGAAATCGGCACGCGTAGAGACGAAACGACGAGCACAATCGCGAGGACAATCGCGTTACATATATTCACTTTCGAGCGCTCTTCTTGATCGAGGGTGAAGGGATAACACGGTATCGAGAATAATGCGTCTGGGGTGTCGATGGTTGCGTCGACTTGCGGTTTGTATCCGAAGGGAACGTTTTCGAAGTATAGTATTCAGATGCGTGTATACACATAATTTAAAGCAAACGAGCGATACTTGCGCGTCGCTCGAAATATTATAGAATCCCACCCCTGCTCTCTGACGGCTAGTTGCGACATATATTTCCCAGGTGCTGTCTTCTACAGGCAATGATGTTGAGCCGGGAGCTAACGGATTCAGAGTGAGCAGAGGCGACACCCTGTCGGAGAACGGTGGCGCGAGTCAAGTGGCCGCGCAAGAGGAAACCGGTAACGACAGGCCGCCTTCGGTGCGATCATCTTCCACTGCTCAACGTTCAAACAGATCCTCCAGCCAGGAGCATGACGATCCTCTGTCGCCTTCCACGGTACACGGAAGCACACCCCTCTCTCAGATCGGGGTTCACACCTGTGCGCCGGTCAACGACATGTATCTTGGCCAAGGTGAGCCTTTTCCTGCCCGTCGAGGTATATATCCCCCTTTTTTCCCCCCCAATTCACGCCGATATCTGTCTCTCGAAGGAAGAGACCCGCGGCCGTAATAGATAGCCCATATTCTAATCCTATGTTCTAGGTCGGATGTAAAATGGTAACTAGTGTGTAGCCTTTGCCATCTCCTTTCAAAACACTGAAACCTCCGTAGACTGCAGATGCTACGGGCGGTGCATGCGAACAGCAATGCCCTGCGCCTAATTCTTCCCTTACACGAGTTTCCGTTCATGTAGTTTGAGAAAGCGAAAGCAACTGTACTTTTTACATACTTATTTCTAACGCTTACTGATCATGCTTGGAAGTTTAAGGGTTGAAATATCGTCTAGATGTCGCATGATCATTGAATTGATCGATAATGTGCATCTGCATCAACATCTGCAGTCTTTTTACTAATCGAATGTTTATTTAAGCCTCGTAAGTAAGTGGAAACAACATCTTAATATCTTTTCTTTGTGCATTCGTGTTGTGTCCAAAATAGAAATGAATAATCTTCAATTGGTAAGATGAAATTAGTATGATATAAAATATTATCAAACACAATTGTAAATTATCCATTTGAGGATCGATGACGCTAGTAAAATAATAATAGATTAACGAAACATCAGAATGTACAAGCTGTCGCCTTTTACTTGTATTTTTGCCGTTACCGCGAACACTGTCAAATTCACCGGAATTCTTTCTTACCAATTAAGAATTATAGCAAGCACATTAGTACAAGCTGTTTTAAAACATTCACGAGATATGTAAGAGTAGTTGAAAGCCGAGCGTATTCTTATAAGCAATACATCAACGAACTGTCGTTTATAGATGATATGGACTATGTGAATACTGCCGACAGAATTTATTTAGAAGAAGCTGGTTATTGGGGCCTTCTTGCATTACAAGAACGTGAGAATAAATACGTCGATGTGGTGGGAGATGCTAGCGACGAAAAGAGCTTTGGTTAGAAAACGTTGCTTTACTGTTTGAATGTTCGTAGTAGTTTATCTTCGGTTGAACATTGAGAAATGTTTGATCGAACAACGGATCGTGAGAATTTGACAATCGGAGAAATGTAAAAAATAAAAAAAAAACCCGAATGATACTACTTCCGGAAGAACGTTTGAAAAGATAGTACATATTCGGTGTTGAGTCCCGATGAAATATATTATTGGATATATGGTATAGAGCAGCAATTATATGTTGTTCAATGTGTTTAGATATCACTTTGGCTGGTTCTCCTTCCCCTGCACCCAGCGAAGATGAAGCCGATGGATGTGGCACTGGCACTGCTACTTCAAATCATAGTAGTACTCACGGGGGTAGTCATAGTAGCATTAAGAAAGGAAGACAGAAGAGAGGAGTCTTACCTAAACAAGCTACAAGTATCATGCGAACCTGGCTCTTTGAACATTTAGTTGTACGTATGCATTATTTTATCTCTGCAATGGCCGTTTTAGTCGTCGAAGATATTCGTTCCATCGGAATTAATAACATAATCTCTTATTCAACAGTATTCGAAAGATAACTGGAAGAAATTGCAGATTACAAATATCATCCATGCCTTGTTGCCCGATAACAGGAACACGATAATAGATCTCATATGTATATTTTCCAGCACCCTTATCCTACGGAGGATGAGAAGCGTCAGATCGCAAGTCAAACGAACTTAACAATGTTGCAAGTGAACAATTGGTTCATCAATGCTCGTCGGCGAATCCTTCAGCCGATGCTGGACGGCGCCGGGGCGGATCCGGTACAGCGCGCGGGAAAACGTCACAAAGTCTCGAAGCATGTCGTTCAACAACAGCACGTGCAACAACAACAAGCTGGCGGCTGGCAATCCGAAGACTCTGGGAGCGATTCAGGCTCCAGCGACGGTGAGGGAGGTGCCGATAGATCGAAAGATGGTAACGATAGCGACGAAGATGATCTTCACTGACCTCTGTCGATCATTCAAACGTCAACCTCTTTACGGTACCTTCAAATCCAGTTGCTCATTACAGTATTAAGGTATTCGAGAATAGATTTCGCTTTAACTGTCAAATACGTAATTATTCTCGCGAAAATCAAGGGTATATCGGTCGAGGTTATCACGCTCTCTTATCGGATCCAACAATATTTCATCTACTTTCACCATCGTTGGACTCAGATCTCTAACAGTCGTCGATTTTGTTATCACATCTATTTTTGCAGACCGAAAGAATTCAAATGGAACGGACATTGTATATTTCAGTTGGTGCACCTACCCCCCACTCATCTTGTTCCTCGTAAAAAAGGAAGTGAATTACGATACGATTTTCCTGAATTGTTGAGAACTTATTCATACCAAAAGAAATGTTAAGTTTTTACATTGTTATCACCTCGGTAGTTTTGTTAATTCTTCGATGTATACAACACGGTTGAAGATACTTTCATTGTTTAGTTTTTCGTTTGGTCTGAATGTTTCTCTTCGTAATGGAAAATTATTGATTTATATATATTATATATATAATATATATAATTTTCCCTTCACATAGATCATGTTTTCTATTCTGGGGCATGCATCGCTTCGTTTACGAGCGATAGTAATTCGCGAAACAGATTATTTTTTCAAACGGTTAAAGACGAACATTCGCATGGAAACATCATAATGAAATTAAATATTTCCTACTATCTTCGAATCTTTCCTATAATGTAATCTATAACAGAACATTCTACTTGTTTGCATTCAACAAGTTATACTTAAGAGATTAAAACAGGTTAATATTGCTGTTTGTATATTTTTATATCAGACTTTATTTCAAGCAAAGTGAATTTTGTATATGAATACAGAGAAAATGATAACGGTGATCCATCTTCTGAATTTGATAAAATGCAATTCGAATATATCTGATTAAAAGATGAACAAATTTATACTACACTTCTTAATCTGAATTCTCTGATATATATCACGCATAAAAAGATTGATGTAAACACGAGCACACACTTTTCACGCAGAAACGTCGCATAATTTAAATTACCAACAACATGACAGCAACTTCTTCAGTTCATGGAATCTAATATTTCTAACCAGAAATAAATACATTTGTAAGAAATTCTTAGTATTTCTATAGTGCTATTGAAATCGTCCAAGTGAGACTATGTATAGTATAGTAAATCTTATAACGACGTCAAGAGAAAGGTCGTTCTCAAACCGTTCTAATTAAAAAATAAGCTACGATGATATTGTACTACACTTAACGTAATAGACGAGATATTTTAACGATCGGTCAACGATATAACGAACAACAACAACAACAGAAAAAACGAAAACAGTTCTTCGAATTATCGACTAACGTTCCAAACAGAAACTTTCATCGACAAGCTTGCACTATTTTTGCGATTTAACGAGCCTTTGTGCAACGGATGATCGATCGGTCACTAGATTATAGTAATCTCGGTCTTGTATTCTTCGTGCCATTGAAGAGCGTGGTAACTTCCGCGTTTAGTCTTTGTTCAGCTCCGCAGTGTCGTGACATAGCAAAGTGCTATCCCTCCAAGATAATAATAACAACAATAATAATAATTAAATATTAATAATACTATTACGATTAATAACAACAACAACAACAGCAACAATGATAATATAATACTACTTTAAATATATGATGATTATATTTTTAAACTCTAAGTGTCGTCTTTGAACGCGTGTACCGCAGTTTTAACGAGATTGTGGTACTGCTGTACATAACTATACACAGAACTGTTAGAAATAAAGGGAGAAGAATATTAGTGATTTAATCTGAAGAAGATTAACGATACACCTTTTTCTTGTATCTGATGAAAAAAAAAGATGAACTCGAATTAAAGAAAGAAAACAAAGACAGAGAAAGAAAACTTTTAAAAAAGCCCAACGACAAGCACATGCCATCTTAGGATAAGTGTTCATACATTCGCTGTCTGCATATGATCGTTGCGTTTTACTTAAGCGAGAAAAAAAAAATAATAATTATCTCCAGATCGCGAGTGCTGAATACTTAGCAACTTGTATACTTTTTCACGCTATGAATCGTTAGTGGATGCGGTGTATGTTCTTAGATTCGATATCGATAATCGTCATCGTCTCGAATTCCGATGATCATCCGTGTAGATATAATCTGTAAAAGTTCTTCCTATGTACTTGTCTTCGATTGTCCTTGTTTCCAAGCGTTCCGTCCATCGCACTTCGAACCGTTGAAATCTGTCCTAAGACCGTTGACTGACTTGGAAATGCGATTCTAAATGGACAAACGTTTCCGAGATCGAATAATTAAAACGATGATGTAGAATAGATGCTTCGCCGGGATATCGATTTATTCCGGCACTATCACCTTGTTTCTAGCAGCGAACTAAAAGTTTTTCGAATTTTCAACGCTTTAGCGATTGTGTAACTATTGCACGTTGTAGAACTGAAAAAATTATAAGGCATTAACGCGGATCGTGTCAAACTGTAGGCGACGACAGAATTATGTTATTAGAGGAGCGTTAAATTCGAAAAAATTTTGGAAACTTTTTCGGATATGTGAACAATGAACGTGGTTACTTTTTGCAACGAGATGCACAGGTTTCCTTAAGCACGTGTCAGTGGTTCATAGTATACAGCACTCTCACAATTTCTCCGTGTGGTCTCTACGAAACTGCTAAGTTTAACATACGACTACAGTAGAACCTCCATTATCAACACTGACAGGCAAACATAGAATATTATTGTTTTCTAGAATCAGTTGTTAAACAGTTTCATAACTTAGATCTATCTCTACGAAATTGTTGACCATTCATTCTTTAGTCTTTTTTAGTCTCTATAGGGTCTAGCGGGGAGAGAGTTTGATTTTGAACGATCCTAAATAATTTGTTATCTTTTATGAAGAAATGTCTCAGCGAAGTGAATAAAAACTACACGAATAATGGAGGTATCTTTTGTATATGGCTAAACAGACCGAAGCTAGTCCATTGATTGCAACGCATTGAGGACAAACAATTAGCATGTAACTAAATACCATCGACTGATGAATTTGTGTTATAGATATGCAGCGTTAGAAGGCAAGCATGTAATAGAGAATCCAAATCATGCGGCAACAGGTCCTCAATGCGCTCAGAGAAGAATGTCTCGTACAAAACAGAAGGTTGATGCTGTCGATTAGGTCACTCATTTTACTGGTATCCTGAATTCTTCCGGTATCGATGTACATAGCCGACTGGCACAAAGTGCTTCCATTAGTGGCTCCACGAGCTTTTTTCCGGGCATCCTAGGCGAACCGATTCCAAAATCTGTTGCTGGTCGCAAAATTTTGAGGAAGTTCCGAGTCGGAAGAATCGAGTTGATCGAGAGGCGTAGTAAAACGATATTATCAGTTGAAGACAGCTTTTACAGTATAGCTCCATATACGGTGTAGTGACATAAGTGAGAAAATCGAACGATCGTGGACACAGAAGAATCAACGTAATAAAGAAAGAAAGAAAGAAAGAAAGAAAAAAAGATGACGTCGATTTGAGCATAAAGTAACAGCTAAATACACTCTGTATTATTTACCGCCACATTCTGCGTTGTCTTACTTCCTGAGCAGACCGTGGCAAAAAATAGGTCCTCGATCGCTCGTGCTGATGATTAGGTCGCTGTTTACAAGTACCAGCAATAACGTGCACTTTTCGTAAATGATATAAGACTAAGAGAATCGTCGAGTCGTATCGCGAATCACCTAGTACGGGACTATACTGTACTTTGACTAATTATAATTATAAAATAACAATAGGCTAAGAGGTAGGTTGTAAGGCTGAACCACGTATACGTATGTGCTGCGGCACCAAACGACTGTGATAACTCGGTGGGCGGTGCCCAGCCTCCTACTTCATACTTATATACTGAAAACTATGAAATAGTTAAAAGATCACACCACACATAAGACACGGACACTCATCCACACATACATGTGTAGAAACATTTACCGAAGATGTTGAACGTATGTTTGTAGAGCTTGCATTTAAAAGCTGCTAGCGGGTCCATTAGCTTTTTACATGTAACATTCTCGTTTGCATATGTTACCAACGTTTTAGTTGAATCGGATGTAACGAATAAGAAAGGTGTAAAACGTTTGGTATATTTATAAGAAAGAAGGACATTGATATTGAAAATAGGACCTGCAGTTTACTCGAGTCTCGTACGGAAAGTTGAATACGTACTCGTACGAAAGCGTTTTGTTACCTTGTTACATATTTCTTGAAATTTGCATGATCTTCTCTTGGCTCAAAGATTAAAGACACGTAACAAGAGAGTAAACATATAAATTTCTTTATTATATATATACTGAATGCATACGAGTACATGTTGAAGGGCGGGCCATCGGATAAACTCCTTTACAATGCTATTCAGTATTAGCAATTTATGTGCAAGCTCTGACGAAAATATATAAGAAGATAGGAATGGACCAAAAAATGAGGCAGTAATGCGAGTTTGGCTTTGGTACAAGAATCTGCTTAACATTTTGGATATTTGAATTCTTTAAATTATCACTCCTACAATAATTCTATGAAAGAAATACCAACGTTATACTTTATAAGTTTTCTGTTGTTTTACGAGTTTATATAGTTCAATTTCCGATTGCAATATTATAATTTATTGGGTTACTTTATGACAAACATTTCCCTATTCATTGACATTAACATTACGTGTACTTCCCATGCACACTGATTGCGATCGCGAAACAGTTTATTATTTTTAGTTTATATACGTACAATGATTTACAAAAATTTCAAGTTCTGTTTCATTTTTACTTATGCGTAATCAATATCGCGGTTTTATTTTATATACCATTATTTTTCCAGTAATTTCTTCACTTCCTTCCTTCCTTCCTTCGTGAATATTATATTAATACTTGTAAATTATATACAGAAGTTTCTATCATGCATGTTACGTTTCATGTGCTGTAATATGTATTCTATCTTGCCAAGAGAACAATTTATTCTATACTTTTCCAAAAATGTTTACATATGTGTATATTGACAGATATTTGTACTGTTTGATATTGCTAACGTACACGCATGTGCGTGCATGTTCTAATATTAAAATTAACGGACTTTCGAAGGTCCATTCCTAACTTAAGTGAAATTTTAAGTCATAAACTAAACGTATTACATACC